GTTGTAAAAGGCATGGACCTAAAAGAAAAAGGTAAAACAAATTTCAAATCCATATCAAAGAATTGTGAACCTGCACACCACCTGCACAGTGGAAAATGGGCAGTAAGCTATATTTCCTGAATGTTTGGTCTTAGCAGAAATATTTCTTCTTCTACTGAGGAAGCAAAATATGAAAATAATAAAAGAAAAAGATTGGGAGACAAACCAGACAGAGTGATTTAATCAAGGATCAATGGCCTCCCAACTGAGGCTACTCCAGCTGGTGCTGATAGGTCTTATCATCATTCTGCACATATCCATTGTTACCATTCTCATTGTTATTATTGGCAGCATTATTATCAACTTTGTTAGCATTTTCTTGTTGTTCCCTTTCACGGTTCCATTGCTCAATTTTAGCACGTCTCTCTTCACTGCCTTCACGGACTGGGCTACGATTCCTCTTTCCCCCAGGGCTTCTGCTCCGTCCTCTCCTATGGCCAGGACTTGTACTTCTATTCCTTCTGCTCCGGTTTTCATGATAACGATCCCTATCATCATACCGTTTACTGTGTCCACGCCCACCATGAGAGCGCTCCTCATGACTACTACGATGCCTTTGAGGGCTTCTGCTTCTGCTATGACTTCGCCTCCTTCTATACCTCCCAAATAATTGGCGCTTCAACTCCCTAATGAAAATCAACACAATCAATTTAGACCTATTAAACCATGACCATATACAGGTAAAGCAGATTTGGAAACAAAAAAATTCCAACCTGCTGATTCTTTTAAGGTGCATAAAATTGCAATATCCACCACGGTTGCAAGTGTTCTCATCATACTGCCTACAGGTGGCTTCACGGAAGTCTGTCACAGGTGAGAAGTCCACAATGATAGGACGAGCTGCAACAAAAAGTAAGGCAATTTAGTGATACAAGTATCTATTATAATACACTTCCAAAATAACCAATAGGTAGGAGCTAATACAAAATGACAACTTAACACAGAAACATCTGTCAGGAATTATGAAAAGATAGAAACTAATACAAAAGGGTAAAATAAGAACACAATCATCGATTGAAATACCAAACTTACCAATAGATAAAACCTAATACAAAAGAATAATGTAACTTATCCACACAAGCAATTGTTGCAATTCGTATCTATAACTGAACAATGGACATAAAAAGAAAAATACAAAAAGATAGAAGATGTCAAACCAGCATAAAATCTTCCGCTAAGGTTCCTAAGTGCATTTGCAGCATGTTCTTCCTCTCTAAACTGGACATACACATTGCCCACCTGTCCATGAAATCGAAGTATACTTAACATTTCAAATTATCAAACAAAGATAATCTCAAAGATGCATTGCCCAAAGAAAACACCTACCATATGATCAGCCAAGTTGTCACATATATTCAGACTCTCAAGTTCACCATACTTGCTCAGTTCCTCAAATAAATCCTCATAAAAACCCTGCAAAATTAGCATCGAGCATGTAAGACTCTGCTTACTTTGTTACAGTAACTGCTTGCTTTTCGCTGTGAAATGCAAATTCATAATTTCTATTATATTATTTAAGTTACTATATTATTTCAAATGCATAGGATTTCACAACGTTAACATCAACTACCGCATTTAATACAAAAATATTTTTAAAAATAGTAAAACCGA